GCCTACCCTGCAGATGCAAACGGACCACACACACTCCTACAGCACTCGCCTACCAGCACCCTACCAGCAGCCCACCAGCACTCTACCAACGGCATGACTCTCTGAGGGTCCCGACTACCAAAGTTGTCGAAGAAGATGGCACCTGATCACACAAAGAAGGGGCCTGGGCATTTCGGACCCATTTCTGTGACATCATGGTTATGTTACAAGTCAAAACCGACATGGAAAATCCAGGCAAAATCCATCGAGGTTAAGATCAAGGCAAGAAAGGAAACGCAGAAACAAACGCGAAGATTGCAACTTCTGCGCTACATCATTGTTGATCACCTTGCGCCCTGATGCTGATGCCCATGCTTTTGGGTCTCTCTGCTCTTCACACGCACTGTTGTCCCTCTACACGACCTGTTCAAACTCACAGTGGAGTCAGAGGATTGCCACCTTCGAAATGGACAACGGGCACTCACAGGCAGAGAACAGCCTTCGCTGCCTCTGCTACACAATCGAATTGCAACTTGTACTTCGCACCTTCTGTGGGGGTGAAAAGGTTGGGCCTGACGAAATTCGTCACGAAGTTCTGCTCATCTTTGCAATGCTGGCAAATGTCTCTGTATTTGACTGCTCCACCAAGCGCTTTGCCGTAGAGGGCTTTGGCGGCCTTGAGGCCTCCATCCGTGCCTTCGTGGGAGCAGTGCCCTATGGATTTTTCCACACTCTTCATCCACCCCTCCATTTCCTTCTCGCAAAAGTCCTCCTTGTCCGGCGCTGTCTTGAAATCCATGCAGGGTACTGAAGGTTCGCGGAATCTTCTTGAGCATCTCGTCCGTGTAGCCCTTGGCGTGGATGTGCTGGAGGTAGTCCTTGGCTTTCTCGAGCGTCATTTCCTCTGCCATCAGCTTCTCAAGTCTTGGCTCGTTCACGCTCAGAAGCTCCAAGCCCTCGCTTGATGCCATCATTGCCGAAGCCACCCGCGCATCAGCACAAAGCCACTTCACATCCTTGACGACCTTGATGATGTTGAACGCGCTGAAGATTTGAACTGAGCTTGGCGTTGGCAAAATCAAGTTCTGCACAGACTACACTGCTTTGTCTGCCCCCTCCAAAGGCACTGTCGGGGGGTTCAACACCACGTCCACCCCTAGCTGTACCGGCGAACCCGTCTGCTCCCGCACCAGCTTGAAGACTTCGATGACGACGCCCTCGCTCGTCTTGCTAGCGTCCCACCGGAGATGGCGGGCCAAGAAGGGGAGACACAGCACTCCTTTCATCTCTTCATGCGGGGACGAACCGTCCTGAATATAAGGCCCCACCAAAGGCAAGGCCGTC